GTGAATGTAACAAGTGGTGTACCACAGGGATCTGTTCTTGGACTGACTCTATTTGTATTATACATAAACGGCTTACCGAGAGAACTCCAAACTAGATGTTTTATTTATGCTGATAATAATAAGTTTATAGTAAAACCTATAAAACCAAACACACAAGGATTCGCTAGAACTTCAGGATAGTATTAATAAAATTTCAACTTGGTGCAACATGTGGCTTATGGAACAAAATATCGATAATTGCATGGTTATGCATATAGGTAAAAAAAAACCACATCATGAATACTCAATCACAATCGCTAATGGGTGTATTTTTAAAATTAAAAAAACCGAAACAATAAGAGATTTAAGAGGTATTATATCCAAAGACCTAAAAACCCATGCACATGTAAATTAAATAGTAGCAAAAGCAAATAATGTACTTGGGCTTTTGAAGCATACATTTCAATCAAGAAACAAGCACTTATGGAAAAGGCTATATACCATTTATATCTGCCCACATCTAGAATTTGCTGTGCCTGCATGGATACCATATCTAGAAGGAGATATCTTTAAAATTGAACAAGTTCAACGAAGAGCTATGAAAGTTGCACATTGTATGAAAAATCTTTCGTATAAAAAGCAAAATGAATAGACTTAATCTAACAACGCTGGAAATAAGAAGAAATTGTGGAAATCTGATCCAAATGTTTAAGCTAGAAAATCATTTAGAAGTAGTAACTCACCTTTAGCAGTAAATATTAGAGGAAATTTTGTGCAAGAGATTATCAAAAACTCAGACATTCATTCAACATAATTTTTTTATAAACAGAATTGTTAAGGAGTGGAACAATCTTCCGAATGACATTAAAAAATCAAAATCAGTCTATGAATTTAAGGTTTTACTTGACAGGCTAAGCTCGGGCTGCTATAGTGCTATAGTGATATCGGGCTGCTATCTACTGTTGGTGGGCTGCACAGTTAGTTTATATAAATTTATATTTATAAATACTCTGTGAAATAATATTTGTGTAGAATTATATATTACTATTTGTGAAAAGAATTCTCTCAAACTAAAAAATTCTCTTAAACAAAGAAAAAAATTCTCTCAAGCAAAAATAATTCTTCCTTTTTATAAGAAAAAAAAAGTTTTTTTATTTGGTTTTGCATTTAATCTGTTGGAGCAGATGATAAAAACAAAGTTTCTTAAATAAATATTGCAAAACTATTTTACATTCCTTTGAAAAAACGTTTTACATTTTACATTCTTTCAAAAATAAATTTAAGTTTTTAAAATCATATTTAGTTTAAAGTCTTTTAACTTTATAAAATATTGTGTTTTTTCAAACAATTCACATTTGCGGTAAAATACTTTTTTAAGGAACTAATATTTTCTGAAAGAATGTTGCATAAACAATATTAATAGATAATATAAATATTCCAAAATAAAAGTTTTTCTTAACATAAAATTGCTGAACGCCTATAGAAATCACCATTTCTTACCTAAAATGTGATCTGCGTAAAATTTCTTAACAAGGCAGTTCCATCAATCAAAACTCTTTTGTTTGATTCATCATTCAGCAATGTCACATTTTTTAACTGTATCTTTTTTTTCATGCTCTAAAAACTTTTTATTCATCTAGTTGTTTTTCCTTATACATCAATTCTTTGGAATTCTCTCCCATTTTCATGTTTTCCTGAATCATACAACCTTCAACTTTTCATGTCTTCTTTCGATTGTTTTCTTACTTAGTAGTACCAAAGCTCAAATTAAATGATCACGAATTACAGTATCTGGAAATAATTTTGGTCATTAAATTCTCAGTTTATTAAAAACTGTGAACAATTTATGAAACGGTCAGTTTATCATATCCCAAAAATTAACAAAAAGTCAAAACAATGAATGTACTACTGCAAAAATAATAACAGTCAAAACTTAAACATTTTTAATAGTTTTTTTTTAAACACCAGGTAATTTAAGGATTATAAGTCTAAAAAAAAGTAATAAGAAAAAAATAATTACTTCATGTCCAAAAAAACTTGTGTGGTGATGTAAAAATCACCCAATAAAAAATTATGCTAAAGCTAATTACACATTGTATAAAACATTAAAATCCATTTTTGTTTAGAGAAAAAGTTTGAGGAATCATTAATTTAAAAATTTAAATGTTTTAAATTAGAAATTGATTTATAATAAAAAAAAATAATAAAAATAATAAATTTTAAGTAATATAAATTCCTTTGGACTGTTGTGATTAGCAGTTGTTTTTTAATAATTACATTGAGAAGAGAAAAAAAAAACGAGTTAATTTTGAAAAAAAAAAACTTTGTACTAGGGGGATCAGTGGTTTTATTGCGTACGTACTTTATGGATGCCCCATAATGATAAAAATAATAATAATTAAATGGTTTTATAATAAGATTTATATCGTTATTCAAGATTAATATAAGTATTTTTTTATTGAATAACAGTTATTGAGTTTAGTGATCAAAACAGAATTTACAGTTTTTAAAAGCTAAAAATTTAAAGACCGGAAGCATTTTCGGAAGTCAAAATTTTTGATTACTTAATTTAAATCCTAAGTGTTTGCTTGCAGCCTTGTTGGGAGTTGATTTGTTTAAAAAAAGATGATCATGATGATTATGATTATGATCATGTTGATCATGATGATGTTTATATATAAATATACATGCATATATACATTTAATAAAACATTAGTTTTGAATAAAACAACAACTTTAGGATGCATCAATGTTTATGCAACCCCGGTAACAAACCCAACCTTAGCTATTTTTCATCAAACCTGGCCCCCCTTTTGATCAAATATCAACTTAAGTCACTTACTAACAGCTTACAGGAAAATGTTGAAAGGGTAACTGATGTAATTTATCAACTAGCTACATGTACTGTGAACCTATAAGCTTGACAACATCACAATTAAAATATGGTTTCAAAAACAAATTTATCTTAAATTTATATTTTTTATAAAAAGAAATGGTTGATTGTTAAACCTGAAAATAGACTTAATAGTCTAGCTGAAGGCATCAAAATCTGCAATAAAAATCATTGCCCTAATTTTTTCGATCAAATTATCAATAAGTTTTAAACAAAATCGACTTTATTATGCAATAGATTAATCTTTATTTTTTGCAAATTTTATTATGTTTTCAAGCTAATTTTTATAATAGCAATCTAGCATTATAATTTTTGGTATTCTAAAATTGACTTCATTTTAAAAAATAACACCCCTAAAGGTTTTTCATGTTACCAATCTGTTATATATATAAAAAATTTTCCTTTAAGCACAAAAAATGTAAATATTTCCACAAACAAGACAAATATTTTAGTAATTAAAACCATTTTGTCAAATAAAAAACATGTTTTGATTACCACTAATCATTTTCAGTTAAAATTTGATATTAAAATTTGTTTAAAACCTATAATGTTATTAAAAAAACAATACATAATGTAATTATTTGTGTACAAATTATTTATAATAAGTCCAAGTATATATATATATATATATATATATATATATATATATATATATATAATATATATATATATATATATATATATATATATATATAATTATTATTTTTATTATCAAACTACAACGACATGGTCGTAAAAAATGGCTATATAAAGACCATTTATGGTAGTTGTAAATATGGATATTAGAATTGTTTTGTTGTCTGGTTAGAAAGTTTTGTTGCCTTGTGCCATGATCGTATTTTTCTTGGGTTAAACTTGAATAAAAGTTTATTTTATTTAGTCCATTTTTCATTTTGAATTGTTGTATTTGATCTTTTCTTAATCGTCTTTCTTCCAGTGTTGTCAGAGCAAGGCCGCAGATCATTTCCTGATAATTAAACTTTTGATTTGATTTCCCAATGTGAATTACTTAACATTTGCTCTCATTCAAAAATATTTACCATGTTTTGCAAAAATATTTACCATGTTTTGTATAAGGTTGATATCATTTTGCAAACTGATAGAATCGTTTTTGTCTTTTATGATTCCAATCATTTTTGTGTCATCTGCCAAAAGTTTCGGAATAATTTTGATTTGTGATGCCAAGTCGTTTATGAAAATTACAAACAGTAATGGCCCAAGAACGGAGCCTTGAGAAACCCCACTAAGCATATGAAGCCAGTCTGAAATGGCATCTCCTAGTATGAAATGCTGTTTTCGATCTTTTAAATTAATTTATCCAATTTATTATCCAGTTTATTAATTTATCCAGTTAATTATCCAGTTGACATCTTATTTACTATTCCATATGCTATTAATTAATGTGTGTGTGTGTGTGTGTATATATATATATATATATATATATATATATATATATATATATATATATATATATATATATATATATATATATATATATATATTTGGGGTGCACCAATAAATCAGCCTTGGCATCAGTCTTGGTAACCATCAGCCAATGCCAATTGTTTAAAAAAATTATTTTTTTTAATTTTGTGTTTATATATTGTCTATAATTATTATACTTTTTTAACAAGTATAATAATTATATTTTTTTTATACAATATAGAAACACAAAATTAAAAAGACTCATTTTTCAAAACAATTGGCATTGGCTGATGGTTACCAAGGCCAATGCATCAGTGCACCCCTAGTATATATATATTAAATATATAAAAAATAGGTATATTAAAAATTTTCAATAAGTCATAAAAAAACAAATAAGAAATAGCGAAAAAATAGGTTAAAAAAGTACAGAAAGTATAAAATATGAGTTTAAAATATTAAAATATTTATATAAAATGTATCCTACCTGTTTAAACTTTGACTTGCTTACTTTACCTTGATGTTAGAACTTTAATGTTGGTTTAGAAAAATGTAATCATAAAAAAATAATAAATACCTTAAAAGCAACAATAAAGAAAAAATTTAAATTAAGTTTTATATTTAAATTAAATATGTAAAGCATTTTTTTTTTATTACTAGTAGTATTTAAAAAGTTTTAATTCCACTTATTTTTAAAATATTGTAGGATCCTTCACATGAAGAGGAAAGGCAGGGTGATGCTCCTGTAGCTAAACAAGAAAAAGCAGTCTTCAAATTTGGATGGGTAAATGGAGTTCTTGTACCCACTATGCTTAATATTTGGGGTGTTGTGCTTTTTTTAAGAATTCCATGGATTGTTGGGCAATCAGGTGTTTTAGAAGCAAGCGCTATTGTTCTGCTATCAACTGTTGTGACTGTGCTTACATCAATGTCCATGTCAGCAATCTGTACAAATGGTGAAGTGAAAAGGGGTAGAAAATAATTTTTTTTTTTTTTTATGTAATACTTTATTCAATATGTATTAACAATCCAATATATCTTTTGTACTGTCTAACATATTTTTTGCTGAAAAATATAATGAATAATAGTTTTTAGAATTGAGATTAAAATACTTCAGTTAAAGTATTTTTGTCATGGCTTTTAGCCAGGGTTGGGGAGCTGGACAAAAAATGTGTGGCTCCGACTCTTGATCCAAGTTTATTTGAATTTATGACTCTGGATCCAGCTCTAAGTTTTTTTGGATTTTATGGTTCCAACTATGACTCTCAAATTTTTTTCTTTGCCTCTGGCTCCTTTAAATATCTTTAAAAATTTCAATTAAATATTTTATAAGTTAAAAAAATTCATTTAGGGGTTATAGTGTAAATAGTAAATGGTAAATGGTATTTACTAAATACTATAACCAGTTTTTTTAAATTATTTATAAATTAATATAACAATTAAAGATTAGATGAATGTCATGTTGAAAAGGAGAAAATAGCCTTTTTTTTGTTTTATTTACGCCATAAATTTATTCCTAAATATTTTATATTTTTGAGTAGTAATTTAAATGCGCACCATTGCCTCCGAAAAATTTAGCCACAGCTAGAGTTTGTTTTTGGCCTCCACAAGAAATTTTGGGGGTGAAAAAATTTGGAGACAGCCTGAATTTCAATATTAAATAGGAGCTAATATTAAAAATTTGACATCAAAGTTGTTTTATATGATTTATTGCAAAACCTTTTACTATCTAATTAAAATTATAATTTTGTAAGAGTTTATCAAACAAATTTTGATAAAATTAAGGAAAATAATTGGATAAATAAGTAGTATCATATTCAAAATGAATATTAAAAATTGGAAATTTCATTTCTATGTATTTAGCAAAAAAATCATTTTGAAAATTTTTTTTTAATAAAAATTAAAATACTAAAAATTAGATATTTTGTCTCTCATCCATCAAGCTAAAACTTTCATTTTATAACCATAGCATTAAATTCTCAATTGGAATTATTAAATATTGTAAACAAAATTGAAAAATTTCCAACATTCAACATCTTTTAACATTCATTAAGAATTCATAGAATTAATTTATTTTGATGTTGGTTTGAATTGAATTTTTCCAATAATTGAAGCTTTTACGAAAATTAAACTTTTTTAAAAAATTTTTTTTTTTTTCTGTAACAGAATTGAAAATGAAAAATGCTCTTTAGTCAAGCGAAATGATATACTATGAAGATTTTATTACTTATTCAAATTCTGGTGTTTTTTTTTTTTTTTTTACTACTACATTTTTTACTAAAAATAATTTTTTCATAAAAAATTTTATATTAAATTTTTATTTACTTGTAAAATTCTTGTAATAAATTTTCACCATGTTATGGTTTATCAATTCTATTGACTCAATAGAAATGACAAAATATAAATACAACCTGATCACTAAAAAATTTTTTTTTGTTGTTGTTATTTTAGGTGCCCTAAGAAGACCTAACGGTCTTGTCACAGAGCACCGCAGAAGTGCATTTAACCAGGAAGTTCACACCTCCTTCCTTACTGTGACGCAAAAATATGTCCAGAGCTCGTCTCGAACCTGGATCTCCTGCTTATAAAGCAAGGGCTGTAACCACGGCGCCACGGCTGCACAAACTATACTTGTTATGATTCACAACATGATAAATTTTTATAAGTTAAAAAGTTTTAATTTAATTTAATTAAAGTTTAAAAATCAAACATTGACGCAAGCTCTTAAAAATGTTTTATATGAAATGTGATGACTAAATCCTTTTTTTTTTTGTTTCACAAATAAAATAATTGGTATTGTAAATATTTTGATTATTGTTTACAAATTGTGTCATATTCACAACTGAAACCAGTACTTAAGGTTTTAAACTACTCTTAATTGATAGTTTATAGTATAATAAATATGTTATTATATCGATTATATGCATATATATCAACTACATTAGTAGTTGATAAGTATATTATTATACCTTCTTTATTAATTACAGAAAATGTGATTCATAACAAGTAATAAGAATCATTTTTTTATAAAAGTAACCTCTTTTCTAAGAACTTGTTTATGAAGGTTTATGTAGAGTAAAAATGCTAAACAAATAAGTTTTAATATTAATAATAAACTCTATGTTTTTTAGGCTTTTATATTCACATTCTTATAGTTCTGATGAACGTTCTGTTTGTAATCTGTTCAGTTTAAAATATATCAAATAAATTTATACTCTTGCCTGCCAAATAAATGGGAAGATCTTAATAAACAGGAGGATCAAAAATATAATTATAAAATCTAATAAACAGGGGAATCTTAATAAACAAGAGAATCAGAATATTTAACATTTTAAAATTTGAAACAGTCATATTTTTAAACAAAGTAAATGGTATAAGTAATGGGGCAACAGTTAGGAAAAATTTTAAGTAAAATTTTACTTTTAGGTAAAATTTAAAAATAACAGAATCATTTTTAATGATGTAATTTTTGGATTATCTTTTTAGTGGGTTTTAATATAATTTATGTTAAAATGATTTTATATTAGCATCATTTTAGGTCTGATGACAGTCTAAGCTATTCAGTTCGATAAATATAAAAATATAAAAAATAAATTAACACTCTCACCTGCCAAGTAAATGGGAAATTTTATTTAATAAAAGAGTAGTATTTTTTAAAAGCAAATAAAAACAACAAACTTTTGACAAGAAAAATTTCTCAACATTTTGACTGCCTTCAGCAAATAAAATTATTATTAAATAAAATCATTCAGAAACAATTCTGAATTAAAAATGTCATAGCTCTTTTGATGTCACAAAGTCTACTGTATGAGGTAGCATTACCATTTTTTCCTATAATTGTTGTTTATTAAAAATTATACTTATTGTTTTTATATTTTAAAGTTTCATAGAAGCGCATCAATACATACTTCAGGCCTTGTTAAGAAGCGTTACACAGCTTGCATTTTATGTATGAAATAGCAATTTGTGAAGGGAAAATTTTTTATTTTGAAATATTAAAATTATCTTTTAGCTTATTCAGAAAATATTAATTTGTAAAAAAAAGCATTTAATCGCAACTGTAAATTTATTTGTTAAAGAAAGTGATTTTTTTTTGTTTTGTTTTTAATTTTAAGACTTTAAATCAAGATTGAAAAAAATTAAAAATTCTAATTTTTGTTTTAAACAAATGCAAAGTAGTTAGTAAAAGGTAAAATGAGAAATTTAATTTCAAAGGAATGTAAAACAGGTTTGCTATATTTATTTATGAATTTTTTCTCTTATTATCTGCTAATTCATTATGTAAAACAAGTCTTATAAGTCTTATGAATTCTAATAAATTAGTCTAATAAATTATAAGAAAAATTGTTGTTTCCTAATATTTCTATGTGGTGTAAAGTTCTTTTGACAATTTATTTATGAACATAAATTATGTTTATGAATATATTACTGGTAACTGATAAAATCTTGTAATTGTTTTATTTTATTAAAAATACAACCCTCAGAATCAGGAAAAATGAGGTCTGCAATAAATTGGCGATCTTAAACTGTTTGACGTCTGCATCAGGTGGGCAAAAATATTTTGACACAAAAGGGTTACCATAAAACATAGAAACTAGGTAGGCAATTTTTTGCTGACCTTAAACATTTTTAGGTTCACATTGCCTAATGCCAACTCTAATTCAGAGAACTGAAAATAGGTCATTAAATACATTAAATAAAATAAATAGATTGTGATAAACAAATAAAAGATTATGTTAAGTATAAAATTGTTTTAAAAAATAAATTATAAGGAAGTATAATCTTTTCCAAATATGGAACTTAGATTTCATCAGTATTTTTTGTTTATTTGATTAAATGATTTTTAACATACAATTTAATTATAACACAGTACTTATAAAATACGCTAATGATACAATTTAACTTTGAACAACGTAAATACAAAAGTTTAGTTAAAGTTATATTTATTATTGTTAAGGGTATTTTTTACTAACGAAATCTCATGACAAGGCCTGACACTTTTACATTTTTAGGATTATAAAATTAGAGAAGTTTTATAACAATAAAACCACATGTTGTGAAATTATATAAGAAAATATATTTAGAGATAATATGAAAGCCAAAAACAAAAATACATAAAAATAAAAAAATAAAACTTTCAATTCTTCATTTTTAAATATTTTTATGCCTAATGCTAACAACTAATATTAACATCCTTTAGTTAAAAGTATGTTGATATTAGTTGTTAGCATTAACTGTATGTCAAAAGCATTAACTATAACTATATAGCCTATAAGTCCTTATTGCATTTAAGAAACATCAAAGTTTCAAGCAATGAATCAGACATAAGAGCGCATTATCAATCCACTCTGACAAAAAATATGCTTGACAGGAGTTGGCGTTGCAGGGACACAGAAATACTTGTCAAATATATATTTCTAATTTTTGAATATTGTTTCACCTTTTTTTTTTTTCAAAAACTCTTTTTGATTAAACTCTAGTGATTTAATTGTTCAAAATATTTTCTCAAAATTTTGTTTGTTTTTTGTTTGTATTTTGTTTGTTTTTTGTTTGTATTTTGTTTGTTTTTTGCTTTTTTTTGTTTGTATTTTGTTTGTTTTTTGTTTGTATTTTGTTTGTTTTTTTTTTGTTTTTTTTTGTATTTTGTTTGTTTTTTGTTTGTATTTTGTTTGTATTTTGTTTGTATTTTGTTTGTTTTTTGTTTGTATTTTGTTTGTTTTTTGTTTGTATTTTGTTTGTTTTTTGTTTGTATTTTGTTTGTTTGTCTCAATATTTTGTTTGTAAAACATGGTTTTATAATTTGTAAAAATGCTTTTTTTTTTTTTTTTTTTGGTAAAGAATTTTAAATCTGAGGTGTAACACAATTTTTAGTAGAGTTTCTGGTGTTGTTCATGAGCATATCTTTTATAGTTCCGTCACCATACTATCATCATACTATCAAAGATAGATAATTTAAGTATTGGCCTAAAGT